GCAAATTTCTGGCTTGTCTTTGCGCAGAAGAAACCTTGTAGGTACCTCAGGAGCTGTGGTTGGTTATCCTTAGAGCACAATGTAGTCTGTGGATAAATGCATTTGCCAATAGCTGATTTGTAGCTGATTTTTAGCCTTGCTGTTAATAGCAAGGCTAAAAATGGACAACAGTGATGCGTGGTCTTCCATAGCTCTGCACTTGCATAATGATTTGCTAGAATTAAAGCATCTGACAGTTTGTAAAAAGACACAGGTAACGGGACACGGGACACGAATGATTAAATAGTGATCGATGGGTGAGATTCTGGGATCAATTAGCTGGTTAACATGCCTTAATGATTCTCGTGTTCTGGCATTCTTTAAACATACCACTGAGGCCCTGCTCAGACCCTGCTGAGTCTATGTAAAGCAGGGCAGCACAATGGTTGGCATTACAGCCTACAGCCCTTGGGGCCCTGGGCTCAATTTCGGACCTGGGGCGCTGTCTGGGTGGAGTCTGCACGTTCTCCCTGTGTTCACATGGGTTTCCTCCAGGTGGTCTGGTTTCCTCCCACAGTGCCTGGACATACTGGTATGTTAATTGGCTCCTGGGAAAATGGAGGAACTGGCGTCCTGTCCAGGGTGTATCCTGCCTTGCGCCCATTGCGTGCTATGAGAGGCTGCATTTCCCTCCAGTGGACTAAGAGGTGACGATATGATGTGAAGTGGTTTAGTGTATTGTGCAGTAATAGCCTAACCATTAGGCACAGAGAAGGGAAAACTCAAAAGTTTATAAAATAAAATGAATTATTTATAATGATACAAATTTGTATAAAATGAATTTCTGGGCGGTCGAAGGTTGCAGATGAGAGGAAGCCATTTGGCTGATCTGCTCTGGTCAGAATTTATAATTTAATGTGTGGAAGGATCTCATCCAGCTGCTTCTTGAAGGAAGTGAAAGGATCAATTTCAGCCACATGGCTGGGTACCTTGTTCCACACTCCCCCACTGGCATCCTGTTCTGACATTTAACTGGGATCTTACTTCTGCATAGATTCCACTTATTTCCCCTGGTTCGTGTTTCACTGTTCATCCTGGAGAAGTCAGAGCGCTGACTTGCACCCCGAATGCCTGTATGGGGTCCTCTCGCAGTCCTCTGTGGTCAAGCCTCAGTTGGTTCCTTCAGCCTCCAGTGTAGGGCATTCCCTGAAGACCCAGAACGTACCTGATAGCTCTTCTCTGGATTGGTGCCATAGCAGAAATATCTTTTTAGTAGCGTGGTGACCCGGGTTTTTCACAGTGTTCTTAATGAGGCTCATCTAATTCATTGCTCAGTTTTCCCATCCCCCTTATTTGAGAGCTCTGCACAGTGAGGTGCTGTTTGACTGACAGTTCTCTATCCTCGTGAGCCATGACGGGCGAGCTTGTGTGCACTCTGCTGGGGTAGTGTGTGAAAGCAGATGTGCTGTGGGAGTGGGAATGAAATATTCCAGTCCGACGAGAGAAATGCTACCCTTCCCAATGTTTACTATGGAAAATCAAGGGGATATCATTCCCTACAGCAGCAAAGTTTGATACCTTACTATCAGAGAAAGAGGAAACCGATCATAAAATAGGATGGGCTTCAGTAC